CGATAAAACATGATGATGTCAAACAACGCGGAGTCTCTCAATACATTATTCAAAAGAATCGAGAATATCTGTACCAAACTGCAGTAGTGGTTTAACGATCGACGTGTGAAATCACAGAATTACACAAGTGTGCTAGCCTCGGCGCAAGAGAAAATGCAATTCAAGGCTGCAGAACTTGCGAGACAGTTGAATGTCGAACAGTAGATGAGTCGCGCTTCTCTACGAAATGTGCATGTAATACGACATATGGTGGACTTGATTGATGACACATGCATTTGTAAAAAAAATTAGTTGGAGAGTTTTCCATGTGAGCATACAGTTGCAGTGGCTATGTATCGAAGATTTACAGTGAGAACATTGTGCTCTCATTATTACACGGCTGAATATTGGAAAGATGTCGTATGCTGAAATAATATTTCCTCTGTCAAACGAAGTCGAGTGGGAAGTTCTTGACCATATTCACCCACTCAATACATTGTCCTCACCTCTCATTGAATCACGTGGTCCTGGACGTCCAAATATGTATAGAATACCATCTATCGAAAAATTTTCTCGACCACGTAGGTGTAGCAAGTGCAAAGCAGTAGGGCATACTCGTCTATTTCGTACAAGTCAGGTTCCTCTAAATGATAATTAGACTATTTTATAATATTGTCGATTTGAAAAAAACAGTATTTACATTTATTTTACAATATTTAAAACTACGTCGTAATTTAATAAGCAATTGTTTCATTTGATAAAAAAAATTCAATGTACAAAGAATAATAATTTCAAAGAATTGTACAAATATTATAAAGAATAATTACAAAAAATTGCAAAGAATAATTACGACAAAGAATAATTAAAATAAATTTATGGATTACCATTAAATTCGTATAAGTCGCATTCTAATTTATTTTGTCAAATCTGTATCCATAATTGGTTGATTCTATCAACCTTATGTACTATACCAAAAAATTCAATGTACTTGATTGCCAACATTCCGTATTGGCCCCTGCAAATGAACAATAAAGTGTTAGTTCTGCTCCGTGTACTTAAATAATTAATTTATAAATTTAAATTTTTTTTACAAATACTTACGATACGGACTGTCTTGCTGTGGTCGTGTCCCGCACAATGACTAGTCTATCCTGCAAAGTCAAGTCTGCCTGTTTAGCCATCAGAGGAACGGTCACATCCACCGGCTCCACGTTCAGCTCGAGCTGTCCCTATGTCGGACATGAACGATTTGGGGTCCCTATCCACGCAGTGATGATTCACGATCATGGAATGTACATATGCATATAATCCTCCCATGACTTTTCCCCAACACTCGAGATAGCCCGATGACCATCTCGAGCATGTACTCGGACACTGTGTACTCGTTATCCATAAACTGGATACTCAATGGTAACGGCACAGAAGAAATCGGTGTTCAGTATTATTCGATCAGGAATGTCGAACAATCGTGGATATATCTCAACTCGATCGCACAACAAGTCCATGACCTAGTCGATGTGCTACATCAAGGAAATACAAAAAAAGAGAGTTATTTCATTTAATAAATCAAACATAGCCCCCGTTTGAGCCCCATTATTTCTCATTACATTAAATTGAATTTTTTTCTCTCCTACTTTTAACCACACAATCTTCAATAAAATAATATTACACGTAAATCAAAAACTTTTCAACCACTCATTTTTCAAAAAAACACTATTCATCTCATTATAATCTACAAATAATGGGGCTCAAACAGGGGCATAATATATATAAAACCAACAATATCACTACTTCACTTACATCGTGGGCGAACCAAGCCCCCTGAGTGGTGATATCATGGAGCCATTTGTACTCGTCGGATATCGTCCTTCGGGCTATTTTGCGACTATCTCTGAAAAAATAGAGAAAATATTAAACGAAGCATATACGAGTTATCGTAATATACTAAGATCATACAATACTTACTCAGGCAATATTTTTCGCCACTCAGTCTCGAATGCTTTCCATTTGGCATGGTCGATCTCCCGTAATAGATTGAGGTACGTCTAGTCGACGAACCTCCTCTTCTTCGTCTCAACCGTGAAGGAAGAGACGACATACTGTGACGGCGCTCTCGGCCTCTTACCGACCACCAGCTTCGGCACGTCAATAGTAAGCTTCTTAGCCTCAATCACGGCGATCGTCCTCTCCTCCTTCGCCCCCATCGTTTCTCCCTCCTCTGCCACCGCACTTGTCCCTAACGGGCCATCCCCTCCTCTACCACCGTTCTTACTCCATGGATTAGAAAAATGATTCCAATGCAACATCTTACTATGACTTTCGGTGACCCCCCTCTCCATCACCATTTTCGTCACACCATCGCCTGCCGACTATATTACCTCAGAATGTTGCAATCTCATCCTGAAGATCCAAATAATGGCCACACAGCCCTCTAATATCATCGAATAAGTCTTCAAACCTCTCTACCAACTATTGTCCTAGATTGTCGACCCTCTCTATCATCTCTCGACGCAGCGCTGACCTCCTACTCTATAAATCCTATCAGCTCTTGACGCAGCGCGCTGACCTCCTGCGCTATAAGTCTACTCAAGCGGGCGTACAGATCATCGAAATAATGACCCTGATTATGTGCGGGAGATCTACGAGGAAGTTCTCTGCATGGGGGTGAGAAGGAGGTGATGCCCTTGGCGAAGGTGATGCTTAATCAACTGGACTGTGCTTCTACACAAACAACATTATAAATTATTAACTTAATCAATAATTGTTAACTCATACAAAACGGTAATTAATAAATTATATTCAACTAACTTACCTAGTCTCGATCGTGGATCGAATCGGATATCTAGTCGTCTTAGGTGTACGAAACATCTAATTCACGTACAAGACCCTGAGCCTCCTCCTTTATCGACGGCATCCAATCAGTTATTACTTCAAGCTGATATATTGACATTTCAAATCATTAGCAATCATGTAATGAGATTTTAAACTACGTACAATATAAATTACAAATATATAATGCTCACATGAGGGTTGTCGAGGAGAGCCGATAATTTTTCTCAATGGGACATCCCTCTGCTCGAGATGCTCGTCAATGATGCATCCGAGGGCAACGTCTCCCCTCACCTCGCAAATAGGGGGACGATCTCATACGCCCAGATCTGCAATACATAAATTATTACATACAAATTCAATAGTAAAAATATGTCAACATTGATTATGTTAATCATTTACTTATATCGCTAGGGGCAATCCATAGATGTCGCACTTATGCATGGACCCCTTAGGCTTCGAGTGCGATCTGGTAAAAACGTGTACGTTGTCCTCGAAACATCTCCAGCCCTATTAGGGATGTCAACAAATCGAAATTTTTGGCTCGAGCTTGGCTTGGGTAAAATGTTCGAGCTTTTTCTCGGGCACAAGCCTAGCCAAGCCAACCCTAGCCGGGCAGGCTCGCTTTTTTTGCTCCTTTTTTTTATCAATATATAGGCAGCAACCTGCTGCCCTAGAAAAATGGCAGCAACGAGGTAGCACGCTGCTGCCTTATTTTCCTTCATTTTTTTTCCATCAATATATAGGCATTAGGCTTGCTGCCTTATTTTCCTTCAATTTTTTTATATAATCTGAGTCCCGTCACTAGCTGCTTCATCACCCAAAATTTTCAGTCCAGGGTGAACTCAAACATGAAGAAACTGGCGACTTTGCCCCCGAGGTCAAAGTGGAGGGCATCGCCGTCGACTGGACTCAGCCGCAGACATAGAAGTGCATCGATAATCTGACCCGAGTACTGCACATCTCTCAACTAGTGCAGGGGCCCCAAAAAGGACTGGCGAAGCATATCTGCATGTTGATCATCGAGCAGCTTCAATACAGTGGTGAAACTGTCAAAGCTACGTGCTAGCTTTGCTTGACATTCGTCTCAACTCTACGTATAGATGATAATCCATCCTATAAAAATTCAAAATATTAGAACATTGTACAAGAGATAATGGAATAAAGCATAATAACAAAAAATTAAGCGAACCGAATCGTAACTACTATACGCAAGACGTAGATTCATTTGAAAGATTATTATATAATTAATATCATTCTACAATATTATCTATAATATAAATATTATATATACAAATTTAAAACAAAAAGAAATTATTAAAATTAAAGAGTTTTAAATTAAAAAATAAAAGAAAAAAAAGAAATTCGCTCATTTGGTTTTAACAATTTAAAAATATATATATAATGTAAACAGAAAAATTGAACAAAAGGAAAAGAGAGAGAGAGAGAGAAAAAAGATAAAGGAAAGGGCAAAAAAAGCTATTATAAAGTATTTAAAATTTAAATTGAAATAATTAAAATTAAAAATAAATAATATTTAATTTAAATTGAAAAAATTACGTTTTATAGATGAATTAAAAATAATTTAAATCAAACTAAGAAAGAAATCAAAATTAATTTCAAAAAAAATAAATTAAAAAACAATGTATAAAAATAAATTTTAAAAAATTTTAATAAAACAAAAGAAATTAAATAAAAAAAGGAAAAAAATAAAAAAAAATATGAAAAAAAGAGAGGATCGGCTAAGCCAATTGCCTCACCGAAAATGGTGATTTGAGCTCAACCCCAGAGACAAGCCCCAGTTAGCTCATCACCCAATTCAATCACCAATAATGAAGAATTTACATCAATAATAACAAAATATAATCCACAAAATAATTCAAATGGAAAATAAAAAGTTTAGAACCTGAAAAATTCTAACTTTGTTCTAAGAAATATGGTGGTGGTAATGTTGCGTAGATCGTCAGAATGTTGAAGCTCGATCGAATCCGACCTTAACAGTTGATTGTGCGATTTTTGAATTTTTTTTTTCTTTTTTTGGTTTTTATGTGCTCTCTCCCTCTCTTGCTTGTTGAAGACGAGGGCAAATATCAAAGTTTGTCAATTTATTTATTGAAAATACTTTTTTATTTTTTTGTAAATTGATCAAAGGCTAAGTGGAAATAAGGGGTTAGTCAACGAGCAATTTCCACTTATTTCCTCCATATCCGTGATGGTTTTTATACCCGTGGCGCAGACGATCCCAGCCGCCAACGAAGAACTGACTTCCGCGCAAACGGCTTTGCGACCAAACCCACTTTTCAAATCGAAATCTTTCGTTTTTAAGTCTCTCCAAGAAATCTCTCATTTTGAGAATCATTTGTCATTTTCGGAAAATTTTTTCATAAAAATTTATTTCTCTGGAAATAATGATTTTTTATTCGTGTTAGCCCTATTTAGAAATTTAAGTCTTGGGCCATTTTTCCTAATTCTGCATTTGGCCCGATGGATGCTGCTGGAACTCATAGAAAATCTTTTGGATATACGGAGATTAATTGGGATAAGTAAGCTTCAACAATCTACATAAGCTTCATCATATATATATAATTAGCTGTTAATCATTAATCTGTTTGCTTATATGTTTTTTGTTATATTTACGCGTAAGAGTTCACACATTTCCGTGATAGTTGCTGACAGTTTGGTTATTGGGAAAACATTTTAAGTTAATCAATTTCCATTATGGAGATAATTTTTTTAAAGTGATTCCGAGTTGTTGCGAATGCATGATAAGGTGAGGTGTAGGCTTAATTACATGCGTAATAGGAAAAATATAGTGATTGTATATTTATGATGTGCATCTGGGAGCAATTGTGGAGCTGAACGTGGAGTAATTTCAATTTCAATTAGTTTGTGGATAGCTGTTCATTTGATAGTTTTAATTACGCACTCTACAGGAGGTTTTAGGGTCTCTCTCTTGATTGCAGACATTTTCACCACTCTGTTATCTTTCAAAAGGAAGGCATACTTTTTTGGGCAACTCGGCTTAGGAGCCTTTGGATCTGAAGAAGAAATTATCAATTCATGTTTTATTTTATTGTTTTCAATTATGAGATCTCAGATTTATGTTGTCAAACACAGCCATTAACTTAGATAATTATTCAATTAAATATCAGGAATGTCAATGATACACGAGAAACCTTCTATTAGATGGCATTCCAAGTCTTTTAATATGCTTGCTATGAAGGCCGATGTATAATTTTTCATTTTAGTTTTATTAATGTTAACGTCTTCCCTTGCAGGCTTGATAAGACCAAGTTTTATGTTGTTGGGGCAGGGATTTTTACTGGTGTTACTGTTGCACTTTATCCAATTTCGGTTGTGAAGACTAGGATGCAGGTTGCTTCACATGATGCTATAGAAAGAAATGCATTTTCCGTTATCAAAGGTCTACTAAAAACAGATGGGATTCCCGGTTTATACAGAGGTTTCGGCACAGTCGTTACTGGAGCAGTACCTGCTAGAATTATATTTCTCACTGCATTAGAGACTACAAAAGTGGCTTCTTTCAAGATGATGGAACCATTCAAATTATCAGAGCCTACACAGGCAGCTATAGCAAATGGAATGGCTGGGATGTTAGGATCTCTTTGTTCACAAGCTGTGTTTGTTCCAATTGATGTGGTATGTGATGAGGACATCCAGTTTTAATTATTTTAGCAGTTTTAATTATTTTAGTTGGATTTAGGTTATTTTAATTTTATGGACTTGTGTATTGGGCTTGGCCCTAGGTTTGCAGTATTTTCCAGTATTTAAACCTATTTTACATTGTTATTTTCAGTTGATGAATTTTTATTAAATTATGAAGTTGGCTTGCAGCCGTTTTCCTTTCTTCTTCCCCGCCTTTGTTCTTCTCTTCCCTTCCCTTCCCTTCCCCCATCTCTTCTTGTTATACTTACTGAGTTATTCCCCCGGAACGAAGTCTATGGCACGTTGAATATCCCTTAGTGGAGGTAGATGATCAGGGAGGTCCTCCGTTATCTCAACTCCCAGAAAAGATTAAGTTCTAGGCATGGTCGTTGGGTCGAATATTTACAGGCCTATTCATTTGTTTTAAAACACAAGAAGGGCGTAGAGAACCAAGCAGCTGATGCGTTAAGTCGTCGTGTCTCCCTTTTGTCGATCATGAGCGTCAAGGTCATCGGTTTTGAAAGACTTAAGGAGGATTACGAGGCGTGTCCCGATTTTAAAGATATCTTTCTCGATTTACAAAAAGGACAGTCAAGTGCCACAGATGGCTTTCGACTTGAGGAGGGTTATCTCTTTAGAGCCAATAAATTGTGCATCCCTCGAACTTCAGTGCGAGATTTCATCGTGTGGGAAATTCATGCAAGAGGGTTAGCCGGTCATTTTGGACGTGATAAGACCATAGAGGAAGTTGAACGTCAATTCTATTGGCCTAGCTTGAAGAAAGACGTGGCTAAAATTGTTAGTACTTGTAACACTTGTCAATTGAGTAAGCAGAAGAAGCAGGACACAGGTCTATACACCCCTCTCCCTGTCCTTAATTGTCTTTGGCAAGATATTAGTATGGATTTTGTATTAGGACTTCCACGCACCCCAAAGAAGCATGACTCCATTTTTGTGGTTGTCGATCGCTTCTCAAAGATGGCTCATTTTATCCCCTGTAGCAAGACGTTGGATGCGTCCAAGGTTGCCCTATTATTCTTTAATGAAATTGTCAAATTGTATGGGCTTCCCAAGACCATCGTGTTTGATAGGGACGTTCGTTTCACTAGCCATTTTTGGAGGACTTTGTGGCACAAGATGGGTACCAAATTGAAATTTTCTACGGCCTACCACTCTCAAACTGACGGTCAAACTAAAGTAGTTAATCGAAATCTTGGTAACCTATTACGTTGTTTGGTACGGGAAAACTTTCGAAATTTGTAGCTCAAATTGTGTACAATAGCTCTATAAATCGTTCACTAGGTATGAGTCCATTTGAAGCTGTTCATGGGTACAAGCCTAGGAAACCGTTAGATCTCATCCCTATGTCCCCATAGGCTAGAGTGTCAGTATCGGCCGAAGCATTTGCACAACATCTTCGTGACTTGCATATTGAGATCAATAAACAACTTGAAGCTAGTAATGCAACATATAAACTCCAAGCTGATTTGTACAAACGACATATTGAGTTTAACATTGGGGATTACGTTATGGTTCGCATTAGGCCAGAGGGGCGTCTACATGGACCCGCCTTTAAATTGCAAGCTCGTAGTGCTGGTTCTTTTAAAATTTTAAAGCAGGTTGGTCCAAATGCATATATTGTTGACATTTCACCACACCTTGGTTACCACTCTACTTTCAATGTTGAGGACCTTGAACCTTATAAAGGCCATTTCATTCTCTCAGATGATCCTCTGTCTTCTCCTATTGTGGACATTGACCCTGATTCTTTGACCCCTTCTAACCCACTACCACCTCTCACAGCACACAAAGAAAAAATTGATACTATTTTATATGAAGAAACTGTGTTCACTACTGATGGAGAGGTTCAACGCTTCCTTATTCGTTGGGTTGGTCGACCAGATTGTGACTGTGCAGGGATCTCCAGGGAGACACTACAGCAATTGGACCCAAATTTGTTAGAGTTTTATCGGAATCAGCAGGATCTTCATTGGCTCAGATTGCCTCCGGTCCACCCGAGAGGAGTTGGTGAGGACACCAGGTTCAGATCGCCACAGACGCATTTCTACAGACGCCGGAAGAAGCTTGCCCAGCCACTCAGCCTATGGTTGGGAGATTGACGGATGCTTATGGTGATATAGCCCTCGACAGGGTCGAGTTTTCTCTCCCACCCCGGGAGAATTGATGAGGACATCCAGTTTTAATTATTTTAGCAGTTTTAATTATTTTAGTTGGATTTAGGTTATTTTAATTTTATGGACTTGTGTATTGGGCTTGACTCTAGGTTTGCAGTATTTTCCAGTATTTAAACCTATTTTACATTGTTATTTTCAGTTGATGAATTTTTATTAAATTATGAAGTTGGCTTGCAACCGTTTTCCTTTCTTCTTCCCCACCTCTGTTCTTCTTCTTCTCTTCTCTTCTCTTCCCTTCCCCCATCTCTTCTTGTTATATTTACTGAGTTATTCCCCTACATCAAATAATTATTCCCCTACCTCAGTATGTTTGCATGTAATGTCAGCTGTTCTATTTTTTCTTCCATCTTTTTGTTGTTCATTAATTTGTAAGTGTAAGCATAACCATGGATTGGTACAAACTCTACTAAATTTGAATTAGTATAGTCGAAATTCAAATAAATTACCTGATTGGTAGATATTCTTTAAACTCATTTTTCTCCAAATTTATTTTTAATCGCACATTTTCTCAATATTATAATTTTGCACGTGGACACAAAACTTTTCCATACTTTTTAACTACCATTCTTCAAAAATATTACTTTTCAGAAAAATAAATAAAGTCAAATTACCACGTCAAAAGTTAAAAGTATGTGTTCAATATGCACATTGACTTTATTTATTATGTGTTCAATATGCACATTGACTTTATTTATTTTTCTTCTGAACTGTTACAGAATGCATGAGTTGGAATATAAGAACATTTTACTTTTTATATAATGATTCTATTGAGGCATTGTATCTCTACTGCCATCTTAAAAGATTTCTGTTTTGGTTTACTGTTTCTTGCTACTTTTGTCGATCATTGAAAAGTTCGAAGTCCATTTAGTTGATCTTTTTACACAGGTTAGTCAAAGGTTGATGGTGCAAGGATATTCAGGCCACGCTACTTATAATGGTGGCCTGGATGTAGCTCGTAAGATTTTAAAATCTGATGGAATTCGGGGATTTTACAGAGGATTTGGTCTATCTGTTATGACTTATTCCCCATCAAGTGCTGTATGGTGGGCCAGTTATGGCTCAAGCCAACGCTTAATTTGGAGGTATACTATTTGACCATTTGTCAGAATCGTCTTTCGTCTCGAGTCAGCCTCTTTCTTATGTGGTTTTCTTTATGCCTTCAGGTTATTGTTTTATCTGTAGACTTTATGGTACAATAATCTTAAAGTACAATAACTCCATCTCTAAACAAATCTATACGGTACAAAGTTTGAGGTTATGCTATTAATTTTCTGTGTTTTATTATCTTTCTTATTTCAGACTCACGTGCATAACCTATTGTCAGGACTGTTCTATCATACAAAAACCTAATTAGATATTCAATACTATTGCAAGTGATTTTATCTTTTAGGAGTCAAATATGATTTTGGCGATAGTAATTAGGATAGAAGAAGGTTCAAAAGAATTTATATTTGGTTACTCGCATTGGATATGGAAACAAACACCTGCATTTCGAGGACATTTGATTAATAAACATGAATCTTTTGATAACGGTGAATAGATGGATCTCATGGTTTATAGGACAATGTTATTGTGCAAAATCTGTTTTCTGTGGGTTTCTGTTTTCCTCTTTCAAGCTGGGTTATTCATTCTTGTGACATAATTCTCATCTCTGATGTTTATGGCAGCCTCTTAGGTTATGGCACTGAGCATGATGGACCTGCTCCAACTCAAGGGACCATTATGTTGGTTCAAGCTGGTGGAGGGATTTTTGCAGGTGCTACAGCATCCTGCATCACAACCCCATTGGATACTATCAAGACTCGCTTACAGGTTTGCTTGCTTTTGTAAATTATTGATATGGTGCAATTTGAACTCTTTTTTGGTATTTTACTTTATGAACTTACTCAGATTTAATCAAAAAATTTTGGCTATTGCCATATAATTTTTCTTTTAACTTTTTTTTGTGATTTTTTTAATAGAACTATGAGAGTGCAGCAGGGGCCCTTAGCTTCTTGTCAGACTGAAACTATATGAATTTATTGGAAAAGATTTCCATAAATTATAACTAAATCAACGTATTATGTACACCCAGTAGATAGTGGCAGGCAACTTGGCGAAGCAAGCTGAAATTCAAAATAGAAAAGAAGAGCAAGCTTCAGTTTCTTATGTTTCCTTTAGTATTCTTTATTTATTTAGCTTCTCTTTCTGTTCCAGCTTCTATTCAATCATGTCATTATGGCAACTTAGTTCACATTATCACTTTCCTCTTCCCATCTTTAAGATAAATTAGGGCTAGCCACCTAGGAGAGCATTCTGGGACGGGATGAGAAGACAGGTGGATTATAGAGGTAGAAGGAAATCACAAAACTGTGATTTTATATAATATATAATTCAAGCGTGTCCTGGACACAAGGTGAAACCAATCACTGGGTGTTGGAGTTTGAAATCAGGTACTATTACCACCTCATCGATCAACGCACCCCATCAAGCCTAATTCTCACTAGGGGCTCTTCTCCTTCCCCTTTAGAGATGCCCTGTATACTCTGCCTTCATCAGTGCCTTCAATTGGGCAGAAGGGATCCTCATATGTTATTCAGGCTGATCAGCAGGTGCAGAAATAGCTAGAACTAAAGCGGAGAATTTAACTAGAAGATCGATTATGCTTTTGTGGAAGTATCTATTTGTTATGTAATCTTAGGTGTCAAAATGTGGATTTCATATAGTCAAAAAAGGAAGGTGCTTGCTATATCCGAAACATACTAAATATAAAAAATATCGTAAAGGTAGATGTAGTAGAGGTTGCTAATCAGACAGTACACAACTTGGTTTTGGAAGCTATGGCACTAAAAGTTGTAGAGCTGGTCATATTCAGTATGGTGACCTTGCCCTACTCTTTAAAGCTTGCCACTCTTAACTTTTAATAAAGCTCGAATCACTTATCACCCCATTTCCTTGGCCTTCCATCATGGTTTGCCTAACCAGCCTATATTTTTCCAGAGAAGCAAACATTCACTGTAAATTTGTCCCCTCAGTTGTGTAACATGGTGATCTACACGATCACGAGTTTGCTCCCATCGAGCCTCTTCGATTACACTAGCCTACACGATCTTCCAACAAGCCATGGCTTGGCCTAACCTTTGGCTCTGATACCACTTATCATGACGCTAAGTCCTTCAAGCCCACAAACTGTGGCACCTTGCTAGTGATCCACTATAGCAGAGTAAGCTGAGAAAGTCCTTTTAAGCGTTAACATGCCCTTGTAATCACACTATTCTGCTAATTTGTGGATGGGAAAAACCTGAGCCATGGAGGACTAACGAGCTGGGAAGCACGGACACACTTCCAACTCGAATGTATTGGTGTCGGACTTGTGTTGGCATTGCCGTACATGTCCCAGCATGCCGGTGTCATGTACCTTTATTTTTTTTGGATCTTTGAGTATCGATAAAGATGAAAAAATAAAAAATCAAATAAAAAACTAACCCTACCATGCTGATTTAGCTAAATTTTAGTGTCTCTAGCCCCAAAGTTTAATGGGCTCTTGGCAATTTCAGGCATCCACAATGGATTTAACTTGATAGCATCGCATGGGTGGTATGGATTTTGTCATAAAAACCTATTTTGTGGAAGATGAGAATTGTATTTTCAATTTGAAGGTTTTGGTAATTGGGTCAAATTGTTTAAAGTGGGCCTTTTTGATTTTAAAGTGTGTCAAATTTTTTTATTTTTTATTTTTATTTTTAACTTTTTAACGTGGGTAAAGTTTTTTTAAAGTGGATTTACATTTTATTTAGTGATAGAAGAATTGCATGTTAAGTCAAATATTTACTAATTTTAAACAGTGAACAACTTTTTTATCAGCTAAATAATTATTTTACCCATTATTTGATGAAATGCGAACTTACACAAGAAGCAAATCAATTTCATTTGCAGAAAGCTTTAGGCTCCATTTCAAGAGAAAACTCTTCTTGCTCCAACCCTTCGATTTTTTCTTGGACATAAAAAAATTTAAAAAATTAAGTTAAAAATATAAATAAAATAAAAAATATTTAATCAACTTATTGATGACGTAATATATTTATACTTGTTTGAAAAATTATGTGTCGACATGTTGGACACTCGTGTTCGTTTCGGTGCTTCTTAACAAAGGAGAGTTGGTCTAGTCCTAGAACTCATGCATTAGCTCTAATCTTGGAGTTGCAGTTGAAAACAATGTTCACATAAAAAATAAAAAATAAAAATAAAAAATTATTTTTTTGCTTTCAATGTTAATATCCTTTTGGTATGAAGAACAATAGTTCAAAAATTCTCATTTTTAAAACATTTAACAATTTTGATTGCTTCACTGAGTCTTTTTATTAGAGTTTTAGACATGGCATGGTTCAGTTGCACATTAAGACAGTTTTCGCAAGGCTTCTGATTTTATTTCAATTTTTTGGGTGTCTTGCAGGTGATAGGGAATGAAAAGAGACCCACTGCAAGACAAGTAGTTAAAAAATTGATGGCGGAGGATGGATGGGCTGGTTTGTATAGAGGTCTGGGACCAAGATTTTTCAGTATGTCAGCTTGGGGAACTACAATGATACTGGCCTATGAGTATCTAAGTAGGCTTCTTTAATTTCTCTTCTAAATTATTTATTTTTCATTTTTTTTGTCGGCATCCATGATTTCTCTAGTAAGCGTGATAATAGGATTAAGTCCTTAACATGTTATTTTCTGTTAAATAAATAATTCGTGGAGCTTAAGCTGTTGACTGCTTCATACTTCTTTTACGTTTTAGTCTTTCACCATGTATTCTGTGGGTTAATAGCCAATGTCTATTATACATCTTGGTCCACTCTGAAATCAGGGCATCAAAAACTTCCAGGAAATTTTTAATATTTGGATTCTTCAGTAGTTTCACTCAACATTATTGCTTTTAGATGCATGTTTGAAGACTTCTTTATGTATTTTCGTTTTATCGTGTGCCTGCAAAGTAGTTGAAAGCATTTTCTTCTCAGCTAATTTTCAAGTTCAATTTTATGACCGTTCATTTGTTTTCTGATTTGCAGAGCGCTTGTGCGCGAAAGATGAATAGGCTCATCAATTACTACCTGTTATGGGTATATTTTTTAGGTGGTGGCAGGGATTTTGTTTCAACCTCTCCAACTCTAAATACATTATCGGAGATATTATAGAAATGCTTACTTTTCACTGCACCGGCGTAACCGAGAAATAACCTTCTGTTACTATATTGGAAAGCCAGCACCCTTGGCACAAGAATTTACGTACGTGCCAATTTATAGAAAACATTATGCTGTAATTCTTTTTGATGCCAACTCATTATTCTTAGTACATGTAATTGAAGCACTCTTAAAATGTGAAGAATATGTTGTTAATCAGAGATTTTGGGTTGATGTAACCGTATATTGTGTTCTTGTTCTTTATGTTGTTTCTCAACCCTCGGCAAAAATGAAGTTGTGTTCTTTTGTAGTGGACAACTTTGACTTTCTAACATTGTTATATTTGGTACAACAAGGAAAATGGAAAACCTAGGGCCCTATTGGATTCATCATTTTATAGAAAACAGTCCCAGACTGTGTCTGTGTGTGACATATAGTAGTAAATGTACTAATGCTCTTCAAAATGTTGCTGCTAGCAACGCTCTGAGGTAACATCCTCGGAGCAAGAAAATATTTCGTCTGTGCGGGTGGCTCTCCTTGCAGAAATAATGGATACAATGGGAACATCGGCAAGTCATTTTTTTCCGTTCTCGGCCGCCTCCTGCAGCTGCATTACATACTCCAATCTCCAAACCACATCACTCATTGATGGTCGTTCAGTTCGGTTATCTCCCAAGCATCTAATAGCAATTTCAGCATATTTGCTCAAACATTCCGATGCAATTTGTCCCTCAAGATTGGGATCAACAATTTGCTCAAGAGTCTCTTTCTTACAACGAATTTTAGCCCACTCCGCCAAATTCACTTGGATATTCGATGTGTCTGGAAAAATGGGAGGTCTCGCACATAATACTTCAAATAGGACTACACCAAATGAGTAAACGTCGGATTTATGTGTTAATTGTTGGTTCTTGTAATACTCTGGATCCAAGTAACCGAAACTACCTTTTACCTCTGTGCTGACATGGGAGGTGGTGCTAGCTGTGGGGCCAATTTTGGATAAGCCAAAATCAGACACCTTTGCAACCCATTTCTCATCCAACAAGATGTTGGTCGACTTAACGTCTCTATGAATAATCACATGCTTGGTGCCTGTGTGAAGATAATCTAATCCTCTCGCTGCACCAATGAGAATTTGGAGACGATTCTTCCACTGTAATTGGGAATTCTTAGTCTTGCAGAGGTGATCACGTAATGTACCATTTAGCATGTAATCGTACACCAAGATCATCTCACCATTTTCATCACAATATCCAATCAAGGACACCAAGTGAAGGTGCCTCATTGTTGATAATATTTGGATTTCTGTTTTGAATTCTCGTGCCCCTTGATTCGATGATGGATTCAGTCGCTTGATGGCAACCGTAGTTGCACCATTGTCAATGTACCCTTTATATACATTACCGAATCCTCCCCTTCCAATCACAAAACTCTCATTAAAGTTATCCGTCGCAAATTTAATCTCCTCCAACACAAAGTGTCGGCCCCGATCAGACGGTAGCGATGAACCCGAACCACTGGTCTTTGAGGTTGATTTTGACGTGAGTGAAGGTGAGATCCATGATGACGTCGTGGCATTTGAGCCAGAGTCTTTCACTCTCCGGCGGAGCTGGAAAATCAAGAAGCTGATGAATAAGAGTACAGCAAGAATTCCAGTCACACTCCCGATAACAGAATAAAGCAAAGTTGATCGTTGGGGCTTATTGTCCAGTGCCAACGGTATAGGTTCAGGGTTTGGTGCTGCAAGACTACGTTTAAAATCACTGAGTTTGAAGATTTCCAAGCCATTTAAGAGCGCACTGGAGTACTTAGGCTGGGAAATAAGGTTTGGGAACAAAGAAAGCCTCAGGTCTTTCTCTCCATGGCGGTCGTCATCACTAACCCATGTGACGTAGTCTTTGAAATAAGGAATTCCAGTGCCCCCAGTCCAGAAAATAACATCGGCTTCAATTTCTGCTGTCTGATTGTTGATTGAAATTGTGAAAACCCTTTCGTTTTGATTGGTAACTGCCAGCTGAATCTCACAGAAATGGAGTCTGAGGAGGTAGTGAAACCCGGAATCAATAGGAAAACTCCATTCCAAACTTTTGTTTCCGTTGGCTATTACCCTTGAGGTCGTGTAAACTATTTCCGGCGCAGTATAAGCTGGAGTGTGTTCCGTGTAATTGATTGGAAGATTTACTGCGTGAGGCATGTAACTAAGATCTCCACCAGAAATATAGCTGTCATCCTGATGCCATTCACGAAGCATCCCTGTGTCTTCTTTTATTTTGATATGACAGCCTCCAACATTAAGCCTATAAAGAGTCTCCAACGCGGATGTATTTTTTAGATCATACGATCGATTCGCAAATTTGATGGGGAAGTCAGGGAAGTAAAGGTTGTGTGGCATCGAAACTATTTGAATCCCATTGATATACGCGTGAGATTTTGGAGAAGGTGAAAAGGTTATGTTAAGAATCTGATTATCCTCCACATTAATGATGAATTCTTTCTTAAATGAGGGTTTAGAGGGTGTGAAATTGTGCAAAAGTGTGAATTCATTGGCAGTAACTGTAAAAATGGATTCATTTATGTTGAAGGATATGTTTTTATCAAGGATGGAGGAGGAGTAGGTGGCAGCATTGAAGTGGAGGCGGAGAAATTTGGGTCCTGCCGAAACAGGAAAAGTGTAAGAAAATTGGGATTTGAAAATACGAGCTGTCATATAAGGGGGGGATTTTCGGACAGAAGAGCCTTGATCTGTTGGCTTACCGGCTATAGACACTGTGTCGATGTTTGGCACAAAAGTGTCGCTTTTCCAGAAAAGGTTGCTATAAATGGGTGTGCGCGAGTCATTTGAGCCGCAGTCGATGAAGATTTGTTCGCTGGCATTGTACGGTGGAGTGGCGGAGAGAGCAATGGTTAAGAGGTGGAGGAGAAAGGAGAGGAGAGGAAAGAAGGGCATGATTTTTAGCGGGGATTGAGGGCCTAATTAATGCTAAAGAATGTTGGGATGCATTAATGGAGGTTTGTTATATAAAAAAGTAGGATAGGAAGACTTAAAAGACTCTCAAGTCTTTGGGGGTAGACAAGTCAATGGAATTAGAGTTATGCTACTTGTACAATCGAAGTTGATAATCCCGGTTGACAATGTACACATATAGGAGGAGGGCCCACGCTTAATAAAAAAATCGTGAGTCCCCTCTCATGTGAGTACATTGTTAATCGGGGTTGTCAACCTCAATTGTACAAGTAGAATTATTCATGGAATTATACATTTGTTGATTTTTCTTAGAAAGATTGCTCGAGAAAGCTACTGAACGGAATTGACTTCATTATAAGTCAGTCATCCTTGTACTTTAGTGCAAAAATCAACACTGCTTTTCCATGTGATCTATCACTTATAAGTTTTTGGTTCCATATATTTATGTCCCGTTTGATTCTTATTTTTTGGTCACAAAAATAAAAAAATATGATCGCTATCCATTATATCAAGTAATCATATTTTATTTTCTATCTCTTATGTGGATATTATAACGACTATATTTTTAATTCTCATTCTTAGAAAAATGAGAATCAAAGAGTATCTAAGTGGCTAATAATCATCAATACGGTAATAAATAAGAAGGAATCCGAAAATCAATTATCGGATGTCCCAAAAATAGAGATTATGACAGTTGCAAGGTCGATTATTAAAAGAGTATCTAAATAATAAAATAGAAGATTTTAATATGCCCCCTTTTGGGGGCTATTTTGCCAACATAGCTATCAATCTTTTGACCGTTGCCAATGAAAATGGATCCCCTTCTATCCCTTCCCCTCTTTTTGATTTCACCGTAAATAAATTATCACCTAAAATTGAAGTCTAGTGGGGAAAACTGTATCACCCCTATTTTTACTTTGAATTACTTGTACACATAAAACAGAGTATATATGGAAACGGATTTTTAGGGGATAATTTATTGATTAAAAAGTAAAAAAAAAAAAAAAAAGAAAAAAAAAGAAAACGGGTATTATGGGACCACTTGTACTTTGCCAACTATAAAGAAATTGCTTAAAATCCAATCAACGGAAATTTACAGAAAAAAAAAGTTTAATTTCATGCTTGTTAATTGAAAAGCGTCTAATTTTGATAACTCTTGCAAAATAGCCAAATTTGGTACCAAATTGTCTACTATACCCTAAATGAAAAATGAAGTGAATTTTTTTTTTAATTTGTCACAAATTTCAAGAAACACAAGTAGCTCCCATAATAAGCTGCATTAATAATAGCTAATATTATCAAGTGGATTCATTTACTTTCATCATCTATTGTTCCTATTTGATTTTTCCATTTTTTTTTTCTTTAGCCTCCGTTTGGCCCCCATTCTTGCCAAATTTTAATGGTTAGAATAATATTTTTTTGAATAATGTGTGGATAAAAAAGAATGATAGTTTTTAATTTGCGCGTAATATTATTTTATGGAAGATTGTGTGGTTGAAAATAAGAGGGAAAAAAAATGAGAATGAGAATGGGGGCCAAACGTGGGCTTAATTTATTTCTCAAACTTATTTTCAATTACAAGTTTACACAATAAAGTATTCAACAAGTAATAACTCCAAAAAATTTCTTACCATTTAACCCCTCTTTCTCCAAAAAATACTGTTTTTTAAATTTTAAAGCCACCAAACAAGGGCTAGGTATTGACCAATGATTTTGAGAAAAAATGAAGAAGATGAAGTAGAAAAACATTAACACTAAAAAATAACTCTATGCTTCCAATTTATAAGAAAATTATATAATTTCATTTCAATAAATTTAATCTCATCCAAATTTGCAAGTTGATTAGGTTCCCCACAATTCTCTATAGAAGGTAATTTTTCTTTGAAATGTTGATTTTGTTGATAAGTAGTGTTTAATAATTGTTGTTCTTGACATTTTAAAAGTTGTTATCGACATTTAAACCTGTTTATCTCGACACTTCATACGGTTCTTGACATTTTAAGTGTAGTTCATTACATTTCATAAGTGTTTTAGTTACCCATTTATAGGAGAAATGAGTATTTAATGCATGATTGATATAGTACTATTTTAAGTAAGTAGCATAGGTCATGTGTCGAGTTATTATTGACCAATATAATTTTTAATTATATGAATGATTTTGTCTTCATTGTGGAATTTAAAATTGTTTATGAGGGCATTTTGGTCTAAATTATTGTAAATGGACATCGAACAAATTTTGGACATTTTTACAAATGACCATATAAAAGTAGACATTTTTTACAATTTTCTCATCTCCAATCAAAATTGCTCCCGAATAGGGGCCTTGCTAGTCCGTGGGAATCTTAGCTTTCAAATTGATTTCTCGAGGAAGTAGACATTCAAGAGTGGAAAAATACTAAACAATTTCCCCTTCTCCCCTTTCAATTATCTTGCACTCTTTAAATGGAGATGCAAACTATATCAAAGTTTGGGGCACCCAAAATATTAGTTCACCATGGGTAGAGATATTATTGTTGATATAATAACCTCTAATATGAAATGCTGATATATATCATTCATCAATTTGTAGAAACGAGACACTTAACTATCACGCGTTGTCGAAAATTTTGGTATGGCATAAAATGGCAATGAGATTTCTCATCTCATTTAGCCAATCTCCATAAAGTTCAACACTGTTTATGTCTGTGTTAAGAAAATGCATGAATTTAGACTAAGTGTAGAAGAACTATAAGAATTATAGGTATGAACATAAGATTATGGGAGCCATCCAAACTTTATTTCTTACAAAAAAAAAAATGGTTTACAAGGCAACAAAGGGTAAAAAAAATCCTGTAATTCTTGCCTCAATACTTAGTATGTAACTCAAATTCATATGTAAAGTTGACAACACCATTTGCCAGGTGGTTACATACAGTTTTTGCTTCCCACTAGGCCTAACTGCCCATTTTCAAACACTCGGCAAACCATCCGGTCTCATGCCATCTTTGTGCTCATTTTTGCCAGTGTTATGAATGTGGATCGCAAGATATGACAATAATGAAATAAAGTAGGAGTGGGCGCGGTCCGGTTTGGTCCGGTTCCAAAGGAAATCGAACCGAACCAAATATCAATGAGAATTTTAGAAATGGAACCATTGGAACCTATGGAACCGAATCGGAACCGAACCAATCGGTTCCAATTCGATCCGATCCGGTTCTTTACATTGAAAATGTTAAAATAAAATGTTCACTAATAAAAATTCTAAAAATGCTACCAACGTGATACTTTTAACAAAATATAGAAGAACCGAAAATACTATTCAAATATTTATTTAGGTATAGATTTATAAAGTGAAAACAAAATAAAAATCATGTAATCAAAGTGAAAACAAAATAAAAATTTCGCATCTTATAAATGAAATTATATATTGTAAATAAATTTATTTAGGTATAGATTTACCCAATATTCTAATTTGGCTTGAGAATCAATTAATCAAAGAATTATAAGAAAAGACAAGGAAAGAATCAAAGAGAATAAGGAAAGTGTTGGAGTCTAAAATTAAGAAGGAACCCGATTATTTTTTATGAAAGTTTTAGAGATTGAGTCATATATTTTACCAAAAAAAAATCCCAATGAGAACTGTCTGGTTCCCACGGTTCCCATACTAGAACCGAGAACCGGACCGGAACCGATCGGTTCTTAAAAATTTGTCCCGAAATCAAATTATTTTTTAGAAGATCTGAAACCAAATCGGCAGGTTCAAAAAGGTTCCGGTCCGATTCCACTGGTTCTGGGAAAAAGTGCCAACTCCTAAAGTAAAGTAGAGAAGTAAATAACACAGAGATTTATGTAGAAACCCAATTCGGGAAAAAGACATGGGCAAGGGAGGAAAAAATTCACTATAATGAATAGGAATGTGTCTATAATATCAAGACTCAATACTCTCAATTGAACTAAGCTCACAAGATGTTGTAGATTTGTTCTCTCGAGATTTGTTCTCAAAACTCGTGAAAACTCATGTTTAATACAATGGACGATGTTTCGTATTTATAGAAACGTCCAAAAAAACTAGTTGTAGATGAATAGGAATCCAAAACACAATAAAATGGGAAAAAGCTGGTAAGGTCCATTGCTCGAGTGACATTGAACGACAGGCAGGCCAGAAGCGGGCGATAGCTTTCTGCTCCAATTTTGATGGTTTCGCTCCAACGTCTAGCTAGCAAAAATGCGGAGTGTTTTGCCCTCATTCCATAACTTGATCTCTCCAAGATCAACTTGACTACTACCCCTACAACCCCAAGAATTTAGATTACACTACAACAATCTCAACCCTAAACCAAATTCCAACACTAGGAATTTCAAATACACATCTCTAAGTAAATACCACTCCACATCTTCCAAACAAGCCCCAATATATTAAATCAATGACAAATACCTACTAAGTTCAAGCAATGCTCAAACTTAGTAATGGGAAGTGGTTTTGTTATCATATCAATAGGATTATCGTTGGTATCAATCTTGCTAACTACAATATCACCACGAGTAATTACTTCAGGCACAAAATGATACCTTATATCAACGTGCTTAGTCCTCTCATGAAATATCTGATCCTTAGTCAGAAATATAGTACTCTGGCTATCACAATACACTGTAGATATCTGTAGGTCTTCACTGATTTTACCAATTAATCTCCTCAACCTCATAGCCTCTTTACAAGCATCAGTAATGGTAATGTACTCTGCCTCTGTTGTAGATAGAGCTATTGTATTTTGCAGAGTGGCTTTCCAGCTAATAGCACAGCCTCCAAGGATAAACACATACCCCGTGAGTGATCCCCTTTTGTCAAGATCCTTTGCAGTCTGAATCCACTTATCCTATGACTCCTTCTGAATTTTTTCCAAAATGCAGACAAGCATTTGTAGAGCCTTTCAAGTATTTAAGGATCCACTGCACTGCTTTCTAATGTTCCTTTCTAGGATTTGCCATGTATCTACTAATTGTACTTCCTGTATGTGCCAAATCAGGTATTGTACAAACCATAGTATACATCAACGAACCAACTACACTGGAATAAGGAACCCTAGACATATACTCAA